ATTCCTCGTGATGAGCGCGATGTCGCTCTAGCGGGCAGAATGATGCGAGATGCATCTGACATTGCAAATGCTCAAATACCGTAGACCCGTTGCCTGCTTGAAAATAACCCCTGCACCAAGTAACTAGGAGCAACGGGGTGATGCAGTACACCGGAAAATCTTGTCTGGTCGGAATCATTTTTATATAATAATATACTATAACATACTATAACATACTCGGGCGTACGAACAGCTTATGATGTTTATACGGTAGCATATAATTAATATAACTGAATTATACTTAATTTCCAAGTTTTCAGAACTTACTCATACTTTACGAATTTTGTGATAGGTAAATGGTATCACTCAAGTACTTCTCGCTTATGCTTTTTTTCAGTATTTTTGTGATTTTAGATTGTGAAAGGTTTGGTTCGCGTTGATGACATTGATTTTTCGGTGTGCCATATGGACATGCTGACTGAAATATCAACGCTTAGAGGAATCATGAGGAAGAAGTTTCCCCAAAAAAGGGAAGGTGAGTGAAGGCTAATGTACTTGCTTGCAGTTCGATAGTTTTTTCAACTTTCTCTAGGGGCTTTCAGTGATGATATCGTTGGAGTTATCAAACGTTTTCTTACCAGTATCCTTTATGATGTAATACAAGACGTGCAGCATCCAAATTATGGCATGTGTAAATCGATTGTTGGCACAGTAAGGGTATTTTTGAACATAGTAATGGACTAAAACGAACTTCAAATTTTAGCTGGACATGGAAATTGCTCAAATTGAAGAAAACATAAAGGCCTTGGTCCAATCCGTTTGCACTCTGAGATCCCCTGCTTTAGGTGAGTGATATGCTAGATGCTTCACTTTCATAATGACGAGATATTTCTTCCTATAATTAATGTAAAAATTAATGATTATTCATGATTTGAATTCTTTCACTTATAAGCAATTACTTTATGAAATGACATAATTAGATTTACTTAATTTCTATTTATTTTCTTTATTTAACAAACTGATATTTATGTCTGTCCCCGGTTCATTTTCAAACACGTTATTTGAATGTGGGCCGAGTTGACCTATATGACTGATGGTGCCGCGTTTGTCTTAAGTGACTGCTTGATAGTTTTGGTCGATGTATCGTTAATATCTTTTCCACTCGCGCGATTGGTGCAGCTGGTCGTCCTGATAAGAATGTTTCCTTTGAATTGCGAATAAGATATTGTTATTACCGCGCGATGTCCTTCATTTTTCTCAGGAGATGTCGTGTTGGTCCATCAGAGCACGGAATGGTAAGTCTTGGCGCAGCCGTTTTGTCAGACCACTGGTTGGCCTCAGTGCTTAGTACTCTGGTCGTCAAATTGAAGCTGTATAGCTGGACAGTGGTCAGCTCCACCAACTGAATGATTCATCATGTTAAATGTCAATGGATAGCTCTTTGTGAATGAAGTACGATGCTTGGCAAACTATTGAATTTTTTATTACAATTCCATAGTGACGACTGTTAGATGTCATTACGTTAACGCACAGTCTGCGGTCACAGTTTGAATTTATGTCTTTTGCATATGGTGGTCTGTATCAATGATTTGGCTTCGCCCTTCATATATCTATCAGTCCCACCTCCATGCGAGTACAATGTGAGGCCTTTCTCAAACAATGAGTTTCGATTATTTTTATTTTATGATTCTATTGTGGTGATTACACGAGGTCGCTTAGTAGCCGCATTGTTATTTGATCACGAGCCGCAGTTAATATATTTGTAGGTGGTCATCTTTATAAAATATTTTATTTAACCTTTCACGTTATACATCGCTTGAAAGCTATCTGTAAACATAATAGAGGTTTGAATACAAGGTCGAGAGTAGTTCTGGGTCCTGGAGGCAGTACGTTGTAACTTTCCATTTCGTTTGACATGCTTATGATTGACTGATATGGATCTTACGGGGTAAGGAGAAAGACATGGTTTTTTTAAAAGTTTGCTTAATAGATTTTCTTTTAATTTTCATTGTAATCTTTAACCATAACCAATACTTGGCAATGTCTACCTAATGTGAGTTTGTTCCTTGTGAAAATCGCGTTCTATTGTGCATGTTGTTCGTCACCTTTAAGAAACACATTCCTTTCTTGATACTTTCTAGATGATTGGAATATATGAACAGTGAAAGCTTCAGAGCATAGATTTAGCCTTTATTTTGAGTAGCACAATTTTCAGAATCCAAAATGTAGAAAAAGAGGTTCTGTTCGTCACCATAAATTAAAAACTAATTTAAACTTCCATATTGAGTAATGCATTGTTTTGAAATCGCATTTTATTAAGTTTAGATTCTTATTCTACTTAGTTTTTGCTGTCACGTATTCAAGTTTTGTGCTCTGTGACAGACGATGCAACTGAATAAACCTTCTAGTCCCTATTGAGATTAAACCTGTTTTAGATTACACCACTTCAGGTTTCGCCTTGCCGGTCCCAAGCCCGGTTGAGAAAGGACAGGGGTTGGAGACCGTGACGAATTCTCCGTAAAACTTCGCCACCTGCCACTCATGGTA